AATCCCCCAAACCTCTGCCAGTCATACTGCAGTCTGCCTGGCACCTCAGTAGTTAAATGGTCTTTAATAAAAAAATATCCTGTTGTGAAATTCTATGGAAGCTTATTTCCAACAAAGGACATGCCTCTCATAAATAAGTTGTCGAAACTCCTATACGATAAAGAAAGGTTTTTATAGAAAATCCCCCCAAATTAAAGGGAACTTCTCTGGAGCAACTTCATGATAAAACATACTTAATTCAGAGCCAGTTCAGTTGCTACTGTTAGAATAAACATCCCCTGAAACAGTGAGTGTTTAAAATCACACACATTCCTCCACATCTCCTTGTCACATTCCCATGAAATCCAGAAATAGAGCTGTTTCCCCTAAAAGCAGGACTGCAGGAGCCTGAGGTCTTGAGTCTTTCCCAGAAAGAACATCAAAACTGCAAGTCAGACCCAAACCTTCAGTCTGCGGCAGTTGCTGTGAATTAGGTAAATGATTTTTTTTACCTTTTTTTAACAGACAAAAAAGATTAGAGGTGTCTATTTAGGAATTCAAACTCTCGAAATGAATTGCCCCAGTCAATCCAGGTTGACATTCTCAAGATCACAAATGATACAAGATCTTGGGGACACAAAATTAGATCTGGGAGTATTCAGAAAACACATTTTTATGCAGAAAGTTATGGAGTTCTGGTCTTCATGTGTGTAAACAACTTGATTGGACTTTTGCCCATTTAGGTCAATAGCACCAGAATAAGCTGCATATCTTCCTTGCAGCTTTTCAAGCATTGTTGTTTTAGGTGTAATTCATCTGCAATGGCCAACATGCCTTTTGTTGCAGATTTGATCTTAGGTCTTTTTAACCGGATCACCTGACTGAAGTGGCAGAGAGATCTTCAGAACATGTATTTACAGGACTGGATTGTGATTAAAACTTACTCAATATCCTTTTTAGCATATCAGTAAAAGTCTAAGACTTTTATTGGGTTTATGATTCCCACACTTTTGGGACTTTCGGCTAGCAACAAGAATATGTCTGAGCTGCACTGAGTGTATCGCTAGTTAATGTTAACTGAAGAGGTCCCAAAGCATGAAATTGTGGGTTGATGTGAGGATTTATTTTGAGATGTGTAGACATTTGAGTAGGATGTTTGCACTTCCTGCTGAGAAACTCTTGAGAAAGGAACCTTCTGGATACATGAAGGTGTGGAGTGGCGGCTGTCAATCTTGTGAATAAAGCCTTTCGGACCAGAACTCTGACTTTCTGCTCTCTCTTTGCACTGCCAGTACAGCAGCTATACTGTTGTTGCATGATGAGCACACTATGCCTGATCAAGTCTTATTAGTGCATTGAATATTTTCACCATTACCTCTTTGTGTCCAAATCCTACACTTTTAACTAGACAGCCAAGCATTTTCATCACCCTTTTTAAGGCTTCTCCATACAGTCTAAATAACGAACACAGAATATTGACATAAACATTCATACAGCTTTATCCAGTCCAATATTTTGTATTTGATATATTGTATAAAATGAACAATCCTGTTACTTTGAACAATACAGCTTCATGTGATTACAACCTCATCCTCAGCAGCATGTTTCAAGCAGTTCTGAGAAGTGCAGTATTCCTGCTATGTTCATGTACTGTAAATCCGAAGGATTTGTAAGAAAGGCTTGTCAAGAGCAATATTCCTGGTTTATCTGTTTGAACTGGTCACAACGCCCTCTCGCCCCACCCAGATGTGCACACACGGCAGGTTAGGAAAGCAGTGCAATGATCAAGTCTTTAAAAGGAAAGCTTTCCAAGGGACACTGGGTCACGGGTGACTTCAGGCAGTTGTAATAAAGAGCTCTTTGTGAGTGAGTGAGTCACTGTTCCACTCCCTGAGCTTCTAGCTGCCTGCTTGACCATATAGACTGGAGAGGAGAAGGGGATTTCTCATAAAACTCTGAGAAGATACAGCTGTGGCTCAAGCCCTTAACACACCCACCCAACTGCTAACACTGCACAAGCACAGATACCTTCCCAATCTCGTCATCCCTCGGTACGAGAGTTATGAAATACAGCACTGGTACATTACAATCTTGAGGATAGGTCTTTTCCTCAGCTCTCTCAGATGGCAAGATCATCCACATTTTCCTCTCGTTTGTTTGTTGTTTTTTTTTACATTTATAGATATTTAGTCTGTATGCTTCTTTGTTTACAATTAAAGTGGAGCAGATTTTGGATTGGAACAAAAACCAAACCATTACAAATAACCGCAACCTACCCTTACCCTTTCCGTTTAGAGCTATGCAAGCTGTGTCCTAACCGACTTTATCACAGGCTAATGAGGCCCTTTGTTATTCTGGCCAGCCACAGATCTACCTGGAAACAAAAGAGATTAATATGGAGAAAGACGGACAAATGCCACCCATTTAGTTGCCATACCAGTAGAATGGTTCCATCCACTGCGACTTTCATTGCAGGACGAGGGGATTCTTTTGTTAAAAATGGCTTATTTCCTTCTCTTCGCCCATGATGATCTGCAGTACTAACCGACTAGTACAGATTTATGAGTGGCAAGTGGTTTCCTCATTTAAATTCAACCCACTTTTTGTCTGATTTAAAGGAATGGCTGACGCATCGTGTGGTACGTCCACCTGTCCGCCAGTCAGCCACCCCTCCTACAGAGAGTAGAGGAAATGCTGTGAGTTAAAAAATGAGTGTCTGCTGTCTCACCACAGTTCTGAGGGTAGGACTTCCCAGCCCTTGTCCCAGGACACCAGATTCCATTGAATTTCCTCATTATATTATTATGATGTTATTATAAAGCATTGCTTTTTACACTTTGTTAATTGCTTTTCGGCTCTAAATTAACATGGAGATACTTGTATTGTCTTAAGAGCCGTTTTAAAAAAACCGAATTTAGTAAATAGAAACTTTAGTCAATGTTCAATGAATGTGGAATGCCCAGTTAAGCTTCTGAAATGTTTATAAAGGTGATCATGAATTTCACTAGAGTTATAGTGCGAAATTAACACCTTAACTTGCACCAGGATCGCTAGCTTCACTTGTCGTTTTTGCAATTACATCTATGCCAATGTCAGTCGAGAAATAAATATAATTATGTTTCTGCTAAATTGTGAGGTGGACTAATGGATATGAACTACCTTACAGCTTTCAAGATTTTCAAAAAGCATTTACTGTCTTAGAAGAGGAACTGTTTAACGGTACATAGGCGCAAGTCCCTGCTGTCTGACTACAGGGGTGTGTGCGAGGTGGGACAGCGCATGTAATTTGGTTGGCCAGCAATGTGAACTGCTATAGGTGCATGAGCAAACCAGATCACATGCATATATTGCTATATATGGAACTTGTTATTGTAGCTGTAGAACTCTTGTAGTTAAATCCTATTATACTGTAAATATTACGAACATTAAACTTACATTTTGTGGTCTGACAGCGAGCCTTTGGACTGGTCATTACACGGCTGTACCAAGTTCCCACTATCTTATCGACCAACTGTAAACAGCCATGAGGTGGCAGTATGAATTCAAGCAGCACACAGCTGTGAAGAAGCTAGAAAGAACGATTTCAGACATGTCCATACATGTAGCGGATATTTGTTTTTCACCGCAAACATAAAAAAGTCTAATTTCGTGGCTCAAGAGATTTTCTTGGATAGAGCACGTTCTTCTTGTAAGATGAAACGCGAATCCTGTCCATCATTATTTTGCAGATAAGCGAGTGAGCTGTTGGAACCATTATACACTGTATTATATCATGTACTATATATACCGTATTATAATAGCATAGTCATTGACACTGTTGTTCATGGCAAGCTGTGTGCATACACAGTAATTCATGCGTTTTACTGAATCATAGCTCTGTGGGTTTGTGTCTCAAAGCATAACACATAATGTTAGAATAATAAACTGAACCTGAATTATTTAAAAATGCTTTCCTTATCTAGTTTTGAGAAGCAGTTTGTAATTGTTCAGGAAATATTAAATGTTTTTTACGTGTACAAAGATAGCATGGTGACACGTATGAACAGAACAGAACAGAGTAATGTTAGCCACATTACTGTAGGTGACGGAAGAGATCGATCTGGCTCTGAGCGAGATTCAGACACACTACTGACTGCTGAGACACTTTATCAAACTTGCTAACAGACCCAGGGCCCATGCTTATGAAGTATTAGTTGCAAGGGATGTAGTGCAGGTTTAACAAATATATTATTGTTACTGTATACGAAAGAAAGATTGTAAGTTGTTGTTTTTAAAACGAAACAGAAATGTTTGTTATTTCGGGGTAGCCTAAATAAACACCAGTTTGCAAACATGATTGTATCGGTAGTACAATCTAAACTTTCGCATTCCTCGCAAGATGACCCTTTCTTAGAATTTAAAGTGGGAACGAAATCTGTTCATTACGTTACTACTATACATTAGCTCACACTGAGATCTCACACGGCGTGATTATCGTGATCTTTGCGCACCGCCAATTTCTGCTTCGTAAATATATCCTTTCGTAGCTAAGGTTTCACGATTTTAATTGCAAAGCACTGTCCTGATGTGGTCTTTGTAAAGAACAGGATAATAATCATTATTGGCAAGGATATATTGTTCAGAACTTACTCTTCTGTTTTTTTATGTTATTAAACATTGAGATCGATGTGACCAGACTTAGGCTACAACTAATAAAAGTTTAGTCATGGCACATTTACTTACGAATGTGCCATGGTATCGTCGAAATGTATGTAATGGGAACAGTGGGGTTTTTTTTTTGGGGGGGGGTGGGCTTTTTCTCACATTCATTTTAAGCTTTACTTAAGTGTAGCTTCTACATAGGTGTGCACTCCGACAAACGTAAGGGCGCATTTTTATCCAAGTCTGTATTTCGCCGCAAACCTCGCCCTACCCCTTTCCACCTACACTGATTACTCAAGTAACTGGTGATGCATTCCTGGTGACGTCGGAAGTAGGGCGGGCGAAGGGGAGTGGGTCATTATAAAATTTCTTGGCTTCGCCTTCATTCAACAGCGTGGAGACCGGAGAGCGACGCGGGCGGAAAAGCGCACTTTCTCCGGGGAGTTGTTGGGGCGCATTCGAGCAAACTCGGGATCTATACTGTTATCTGTGGACTAAAAGTGAAACAAGGAACGTCCCTGAGAGCGAACTGTGACTATATGCTTTTAAAAATGAAAATGTCGGCAGTCGAACTTTCCCAGGTTTTAAAAGAAGGGGAGCTCGAAAAGAGGAGCGACAACCTCCTTCAGTTTTGGAAAAAGAAGACGTGCGTCCTCACGATGGACAGCCTCAACATTTACGCCGACAGCCAAAAGAAATCCAGAGGCAAGGAGCTCAAGTTGCAGTCCATTAAGAAAGTGGACTGCGTGGAGCGGACGGGCAAATTCGTCTATTTCACCATTGTCACTACAGACAACAAAGAGATCGACTTCAGGTGTACGGACGAGGACACCTGTTGGAATGCGGTCATCACCATGGCTCTGATTGACTTCCAGAACAGAAAAGCCATTCAGGACTTCAAATCGCGACAGGAGACAGAGATCGCCTCCCCAGGACAGCATGAAAGGCGAATGGCGAGGTCTCCCTGAGAAGTCCGCGACAAAAGACCTGAAACAAGTGGTGAGTAGCTCAAGACTCAATACCATTCATACTGTACATGACTAGACCGGTAGTGAACCGGTAATACCATTCATACTGTACATGACTAGACCGGTCACCGGTGGGTAATGATCTACACGCTGCTTAGTGCATCAAAAGTTGTAAAAATATACTTACAGCATGTGAATAAGATGTGAATGGCTTATGTCAAGTATCCCTGCCTTAGAGGAAGAATGGGTTTAGAATAATACAAAGTAAAGTCTTGACAGAATATCGGCTTCTGTGTTCTGCATTTACAAAGTCTAGAAATGTGTACTTAAACTATGATTGTTGATTGATAATGCGTAATTACTGTTGCATACTGACTTTTTGCCACTAACGTCTACAGAAAAGATATCTGGTTCAGTGCGTGAATTGTAACCTAATTTGTTTTATTTTTTTATTTTTTTGTCTAGAATTTTAAAGTGGACCATGAAGAGTGCTTGGACCAAACGAAGACGTTATTAACAGGTCTGAAGATGAAGGAATGAGAAGGGCGGACACGTCCTTGGGGACTTCCGATACTGGAGCCGCGTGTGCCGGGCTTTTGAAAAGACTGAAGACTTCTTACCGAAAACCAAAGACTGAATCTAAAGACTCTCAAAGCTTCAGCACAAAGCTTTGGGTGGCTGAAACGCTTCGCAGTATCACATGTGTGTTAATTTATTTGTTGCAAGAAACCTCTTTTTTGCATATTCGAATTGTTTTAAGTTATTTGTATTTTAACTTGTATTTATTGTAATAAATATGATTTTAAAAAAATGAAAACGAATAGGTCCTTATTTTTACCCCCCTTGGGATAAACGGATTTTGTGGCCACCTCTTTCTCCAGTAACAACCATTTCAAAATACAAACACCAAACCCAAAGCCGTATATAAAAGAAGCTTTCACTAGGCTAACAGCTGAAAAAGTGGATGGGGAGAAGTGCAGTCTTGTGATGAATCTTGTACAGAATTGGACAAATCTGGATTTTTTACATCAGCCGAGTTCTTAAAAGGAACTAACTTCCTGCCCCTCCGGTGGCCTCTGTCCCCAATCCTTTTTTATGGTGCCAGCGGAGTCTTGCAAAACTAATTGGATTAGTTATTAGTCACTCTTACAAAACTAATTGGAACCCCTGTTGCTGAGGAAAGACTATGGAACTATTAGTGTTATTTTGGTTGAACACTGACAACTAATTTTACTACATTTATGTAGAAATAACTTTTTTATACAAGATGGGTATTCTGAGGTGGTGATTTTCATATATACAATAAGTTTGCTAAACTGTGAGATTCAAATCTGTACTCTTTATCGTGCACAACAGCCAGATGACATCTGAAATGCACCAGATGCTGGTTTGTCCTTTTCAAAAGAATCTGTTTCAGAAAGGTAGGATTCTAGAAATTTAGAAAGGAACACTAATTGTACCTTCTGCATGTGATATTTATGCATCTTGCAATTAAATAAGTATGGAAGCTAATCTGTCAGTATGAACGACCTGGAACACAGCTGCCTGTGTAAAAAATAAAGAGTTTTAAACATAGTAAAACAATGCTTACAGGAGATTCTGAATTAACAGATTAATATGTAGTTACAAGGCAAACAGCCAATCTAAACCTAACTAAAAGTGCTGGGGCAGTCAGGTGATTTCCACCTTTATAGCTTTTCTCAGAGATCACAGCTTAGTCACTCTTGATTCATTCATCAGGTAATATTTGATCTGATAAGGATTGCAGTTCCTCTGCTTACTTTTTTAGGAGGGATCCAACAATGCCTTTGAAGGTGGTTTTATTATTGAGGTAGGTCAAAGCTTTATAATGGTTATAACTGATTGTTGCCATGGTGATAGATTGTAAGAATGTGGAGAATGTGGAAGTTACTAACTGTATCACATCCTGTCATCTACCAGAGCACCATTCTGCAGTACACTGGCACCCCCCTTGCTTTAATTAAAGCAGCAACACTTGGCCCACTGTGCAGTGCGGGTTTATAGGTACAGGAATGGATGTGTGAAGAGTTGAGGGGAAGTGACTCCTGGGGATGTTTTTTTGCAGGGACTGTTGTATGATAACCTAGGCAAGATCGGTGTGGTGAACGTCTGACGACTGGTCAAAACAACAAAGCAAACAAAGAGTGTACCCTAAATTAGTCAATGTTCACAATTCTTTTACCACTTCTATGTGAAACATATATGTATTCAAAAAGGCAAAGACTGAAACAATGACATAGCAGACAACAGCCAGGTGACTATCATTCATGTGGGCTTGGACAAAAGATGTAAGTGGGGGTGCTTAAAATTGACGAGTTGAAATCCATTTAATAAATATTAAAGTAAGTGATATTCCCCAATTATTTTTGTCCTTTTCCCTCAACAAAATATGTCATTCGTCCTATAATAAGCACTCAGATATTAAAACAGAATTTATTCTGGACTTTCTGTTGCAGATGAACATTGAGATTCAGTTCCGTTATATTTCACTGTGAATGAGCTGTAGTGGTGCAAACTGGGAAAGTAACACATTTGTCATAACTGGGCAAGGTGCTAATAAACGTACAGAAGGCTGCGTCAGATTTATGTTAAACATAAATAAAGTTGACTGGCTGTAAAACTGGCTGGAGAGTGGTATGCAAAGAGCATTAGGTATACATTGTATAACTGGGACCTTACAGCGTTTACACAAGGTAATTGTGAAAAAGACAACACAAGTTGAAAACTTCAGCAAGGTTTCATCAAAATGAAACCACTTTTCTAAACATTTTTTCGATATTCTAATACTAGCACTCCTCATCCTGTTTTTCTTCCACAAGAACACTTTCAGCTGCTGGATTCCAGCCTTTCATGTGGCTGTGAAAACGACAGCAGCCATGACAATATTGACAACAGGTCAATACAGGTCATATAGTTATGGCTCCTCATA